CACACTCACTCACACACACACGCACAACACACACACACACACACACACATGCCTTTTGCGATCTATATCAGTTTATGGATACGATATTCATATGAATTATCTGCGCAGATTCCAGAAGTTTATGTATATACCGTATGACTGGCAAGGAGATGTAGAGTGCACGCGTCACAAGGAAAAACATCTTATTTAAAGTGAATGTAATCCACAAACCTCTTTCTTAGAACTACAAGAAGTGTATGCCAACATACTTTGTGTAGCTAAAGAGTTTCTTCGAGGGGTTTAAAATGTAATGTGAAAGGATACCTATCGCAATTCCTGCCATAGTAGGCCAGACCGTGTCTCTTAACACGTAATATAGCGTCGATTGTCACAATTTGCGAACCTAGATGCACACAAACTCTAAATTGCCTGTCATCGCCCTGTACTAACCTGGAAAGTTGTACATTACAAAGTCCTCGTCATGACTGACCTCAGCCAAGCAGGCTCTCCTCATTTCGTTTGCCCTATTGAAACAAAACGCCATGTTCTGTGAGATTATGTTGTGTATGTATTGTGAGATTATGTCGTGTATGTATTGTGAGATTATGTCGTGTATGCATTGTGAGATCATGTCGTGTATGCATTGTGAGATTATGTCGTGTATGCATTGTGAGATTTTGTCGTGTATGCATTGTGAGATTATGTCGTGTATACATTGTGAGATTATGTCGTGTATGCATTGTGAGATTATGTCGTGTAAACATTGTGAGATTATGTCGTGTATGCATAGTGAGATTATGTCGTGTATGCATTGTGAGATTATGTCGTGTATGTATTGTGAGATTATGTCGTGTATGTTTGTGAGATTATGTCGTGTATGTATTGTGAGATTATGAACATAACAATATAACTGGACATGTGTCAGAAACACATCAATATAACAGGACATGGGTCAGAAACACAACAATATAACGACATGTGTCAGAAACACATCTGCCACACCAGACACGGAACATATATATACATGTGAACATCGTTGGCTATTTGTGGGAATGCGTCAAAGCACTGATATATCATGTTTCATCTGTAATGATTGTAGACACGAAAATAAATCTACACATCGATGCCATGTCATCATATAGTTAAGCACATTCAAAACAACCATACATACTTCACTACATCCAAATAGCAGTAACTTACAAGTATGTCACACTGTCACTGACGGATCGCTGCAGCTTGCGGTACTGAATGCGCTGCTCACTCTGTCGCTGCCGCTCCGCTTCCTCGTCATAGAAATCTTCTTCAAATACGTCCATTCCATATGACGGATCCTTTCCAAACTGTTTGTCGATGGGATATAGAGAAAACCTTAGATAACAATTGCAACCTCTGAAACACAGCTGAAGAAACTTCTTAATGCTATTCTACCCCAGGAATCCCTCGAGAAACATCCAGCGACGAGATTTACCATATTCTTCAAACACTACTAACCATAAACCTATTTACCTCGAGACACAAACCCAGCTGATATGTACCACACCTCAACCATAAACCTATTTACCTCAAGACATCAAACCCAGCTGATATGCACCACACCTCAACCATAAACCTATTTACCTCGAGACATCAAACCCAGCTGATATGCACCACACCTCAACCATAAACCTATTTACCTCGAGACATCACACCCAGCTGATATGCACCACACCTCAACTATAAACCTATTTACCTCGAGACATCAAACCCAGCTGATATGCACCACACCTCAACCATAAACCTATTTACCTCGAGACATCAAACCCAGCTGATATGCACCACACCTCAACCATAAACCTATTTACCTCGAGACATCACACCCAGCTGATATGCACCACACCTCAACTATAAACCTATTTACCTCGAGACATCAAACCCAGCTGATATGCACCACACCTCAACCATAAACCTATTTACCTCGAGACATCAAACCCAGCTGATATGCACCACACCTCAACCATAAACCTATTTACCTCGAGACATCACACCCAGCTGATATGCACCACACCTCAACCATAAACCTATTTACCTCGAGACATCACACCCAGCTGATATGCACCACACCTCAACCATAAACCTATTTACCTCGAGACATCACACCCAGCTGATATGCACCACACCTCAACCATAAACCTATTTACCTCGGCTTTGGCGACTGTGAGCCGGTCTGTCCCGCCGGGACCACACTTTGAACTGCGATTCTCTGCAATCCGTACGGAACAGTTGGGATGGTGTAAGGGTGGAGGGTTATGATACTACGTGAGGAATAATCGGGAAAACCTTAATTGTTTTGAAGTATAACCAGAGCTGGCTGTGTTCCACATGCCAGACCGGTGCGCTTGGCGGTTTGGCATTCGTAATATCTTGTGATATTAACGAGTGTATCATATCAGGGTACCCACTGAGTATACGGACGCTAGCAAACTTGGCAAACGCTTTAGCAGACGTAAAATCGCTTAGACGACTGCTTCTATCATATGCGTATGACTGCATAAACTCGAGGGCTAAACTGGCAGTGCCTGAAGAAATTGGGTTGTCTTTCAAAAATTCACATCTACAGTCGCAAATGGGTAAACGCAACTCACCCCCGCTATCAACTACACATCAGCTAAACCGCAACATGCCAGAAAATACTAGTTGTAACAAATATCGACTGTGCATTCCCTGTTGAGCAGATTATAAACACTCGTGCATGTGTTGGGCACATCAAAAACACACGTGCATTGTGCACGACTACGCACAGTAGCGTCTATCCAAACACTCACCTGCAGCGGTTGTCCCAGCATCAACTCCAGACGATTGTAACGCTGTACGCGATGTCGCAGGCAAGGACAGACCCGCCCGACTATTAAAAGCAGTATCCAAACTGACATTAGTTTCCAAAATCGCATTACCGTTTCCGTCCAAATCCAACTTTACGAACGAACCCGAATCCTTCATGACAATGGCGGGGCTGGTGTGCCTAGGGCCAAGAGTACTTTTACTCACGTGTGTCCCGACCTTTGGACTCGGATTGTCCACGGTAGAGGGTACAGGCTCGTTAAACACGGTTTGGCTCGAGGGAGTGGGAAATGTCGTGGATACTGTGTGGGGCAGTAGCACCATGTCTGCAACCACAGGCATGTGGTCAGACACTAGCTCGTAGGCGCTCATCACATGGCACCCGACACACCGAATCCTAAACGCACCAGGAGAGAACATCTGTGAGTGGAGTGAGCACTACACATATGCGATGGGATGATTTGGTGTATATCCTGCACCTCGGACACGCACCTGGGTTTCAACTTGGGACATAAACTGGCCAAAACTAGTATTCATTCTAGACACGCATTGCTAGCAAGACATCTAATAATTTATCCATCAACCACCTCAGAAATCCAGGGTGTGAAATTGAATCTGGGTTCTGCGAGTTTTGGCGTGTGATGTCATTAGCCTGTCTAGCACGATACTAGTAGCACAACCATAATACGGGAAAACAGTCCACTCAGGATGCAAGGTCTCACTGAAGTGTGTCATACGGTCAATCAAACTAGGGGTTGACCAGGGAATCCACAACACAAAACTCTCGCACCTATGCTAGTGCGTAACGCAACTAAGCGAACTTAAAAAAACTAGGTTGCACACCCTGATACACCCCCCTCCCCCTCACACCTCGTAGAATTATAGAACACGTGGTCGTAGGCCCCCCTACTTCAAAAACTAAGTTGCACACCCGAATACACCCCCCTCCCCCTCGCACCTCGTAGGATTGTAGAACACGTGGTCGTAGGCCCCCTACTCAAAAACTAAGATGCACACCCGAATACACACCCCTCCCCCTCACACCTCGTTGGATTGTAGAACACGTGGTCGTAGGCCCCCTTAAGATACAATCCCATTTTCAAAGGCCACTTCCACGTCACGGCTGTCTCGGCGTATTCACTTAAGCCGTCCTTGTACCCTTTCCCGTTACAGTTCTTCTTCGAATACTTCAGCCAACGTACGGCGTCTCCACCGTGACCCTCATTGAAGTCGCCCACGATAATACTGGGTTTGTGCGAGCTCTGCGGAAATTGTACGCGCGCAGAGATAGTGTGCAATACGGACGTTTGAAACTGCAGTACAGTCTAAGATCATAGAGACTGAACTGCTTAGCGTTGCGAGTAACGCATGGAATGTATATCTACTATCTATCTGCCAGAGTCTGTAGAAATCATACGTGCGAGAGTTGCTTGTACTAGACATGCGACAGTAATGCATATTATAAGAATTCAAGTGCATCGAGCCCATCTTCTGATGTCATCACTTTGTGGCAACTTTGTGGCACTGGCAATGTTGTAAAATCAGTATTGATACTTTGTATAGATATCCTACTGTTGTTTAGTATATCCTAATGACCTGTTGCATTTGCAAGAGCTCTGCCAGCGACCAATCACATTGCCATAACGAATTTACGTGTGACCACAAGCATTTCATGTGATACGTTTGCCCCAGCGATTGGAGACACTGACGGGGGGCAAAATGACTGCACAAATTGAACTACAAGCCCATTAGTCCGACGAATAGAAGGACACGCAAGACCTCACATATGCATGCATTCAAATGAGCGCAACTAGCTACCACCACGGGGTATATCGTCCACTCAACAGCGTGTTTAGATGAATCACCTGGCATGCACTGAAAAGAATACTATCAACTAAACAGCGTGTTACCGTCACTCAGCCTCACATACCATTTTCGTTAATAGATATTTGATCTCGGATTTTCGCACTGTCCCCGTAGACCAGACTGCCATCAACGATGGCTTGTGTGCATTGGAGATTTGGGGTCGCAGGTGCACATTCAGCACGTAGACTGGTTGTAGAAAACGCAGACAAGAACTAAGTATGTCATTTTAAGTCACAGAAATGAATTCTATTTAGGACATAGATGAATACATTTTATCGAACCAATGTGTATGAGAAGTGTCCAGCACAGCACTCACACACATGCGCGACGACAGGAATGCTTCTCAACCTCGAGATCGCACCGCAATACTGAATATCAGTAAATATGGGAGAAGAGTAGAGCCAAATGTTTCATGTCGATTATATGGTACAAACACAAGGTGACTTGCGATTAAATCTATGCGTGCGCCCAAAAAGAATTGCCTAACACAAAAGGAGTGGCGGATCGCCTAGTCACAATTTTGATCAATACACAATGTACATTGCCAACACAACGGGGTTGGATGTTTATAGCACTTACTGACTCCCACTGGCGATCGTAAGCCAATCATTGTGCCTGGGAAAAATGATCCCGGCACGTCAGGTATTCCACAGAAAGTTTCCTTGATGGGATATCTGTGAGAGACACGAATGAAGATAGCCATTTTAACACACAACAGCAATTATAAACACACAACAGCTGTTAGATTTTTAGTCATACGGCAATACTGATGGGAACATACGTTGAAAGACATCATGAAAGACATATACACACGTAGGTATGTTTGAATTTCTGCCTGGGTCACATTCATGCAACCTTAGCTACATGTAGATAAAAACATCTACACAAATAAAAGAAAATTTACGACTACACATTCATAAATATATACACCTTGAGATATTTCTAATATTGATGATATATATATGCACAGATACACAAAGAAAACAAAGATTAATATTTATATATATACATATGCGCACATATACATATCACATATACAAACACATACACTTATTCATACGTACATACATACATACGTACATACATAAATTATATATATATATATATATCTATATAACTATATATCTATTTATATCTATATCTATATATATATGTACTTATAGTTGAGGTATACCTTATGCGATACCGCCTACATGTGTTTTGCGGAACATATACTAACAGTTCGATATGTACGAGTTATACAACTGGCGGCAGGCGACACTCGTTTCATTTGATGCCATATATGTTGCATGTGTGATAGAAGCATCCGTCTTTGATTGCGTACGTTTATTAACCTAAAATGAACTGTTCAGAAACATTTGCATATAGGAAAAAGTACTGTTTCATATCACGATTCTAATAATTATATATGTTTTGTGATTTTGAAAATAACGAATATATACATATATATATATATATATATACAACATACTTCATACCTATAAACACAAGATTACAATACATCATACGTATATAAACACAAAATTGTAATATATATATATATATATATATATACAATATACATCATACATATATAAACACAAAATTACAAACATTCACACACACACCCACACATGCACAAAAGTATACATGTGCACACACACAAACACACACACAGACACACACATATATATAAACACTATACCTATATATACACTATACTTATATATACACTATACCTATATATATATATATATATATATAAATATAATAAATATACATACATATATATATATATGTATATATATATATACATATAGGTCCACATGCATACATATGTACGTGTATATGTAGATTAGGTATAATTTCATAAATGTATACTTACATACATCATGACACCCACACCCACACCCACATACATACACAAACACACACTCACATATACAAACATACATACGTACATACATACATATATATATATATTTTAAAATGCAAATATAGACTGACTTTGACAAGAACGCCGAACCGCCAGCCGACGATCCTTCCTTGTACTGATGGTTGATGTCGGGATTCAAATGGTGCTTGAAGATCATATACGGATACACCCCCTTGAAATTTCGCTCCAGATAAGTCTGCCAGCCTTCATGTGTTTCCTGCAAGCACACCAAGTCTGCATTGCTCTCCATTATAGCATTGTGTATCCGTATTACCATACCCGTACCAAGGCCTGCGAGACAGAATCCCCAGTTGACGTTGTATGTCACTACACGCAATTTAGAAAGATTCTTATCTTCTGTGGCTACACGCTTCATTTTAACATCTTGACGGGGGTGTTTGGCCTGTGCGCGAGCATTGGACTTCGACATCATGACACCACGATTGCAAGTCACCGCTCAAGTGCAGATTATAAACCTATTCCATAGGCGTTTCTTTACCTATTTAAGATTGTTCAGTTCTTTCATAGGTGTTTGTCAGTACTTTGATTGATCCATAGGTGTTTATCTATAGGTGTATGTTCAGATACTTTGATGAATCCCATGGGTGTTTATAAACTTGCGCTGTGACTCTCGCTCACGTATAAAGCGAAATTCCGACTCGAACAAGAGCCCATAAATTCTGTATTCGAACTAATCGATTCGATTTTCAATAGGTTTGTGAGATCGATCACAGTACACCCGACATTATTTTCTAGCAGTACAAACGCTACATGCATAGACGTTGTAAGCTGTAAGGCGTGTAAGTGTTTGTATACACAAGAGCGCGTGCGAAGCGAGCATAGCTGGATTTTTTAAACAGCAGTTTAAAAAAAAGTCACTGACTATATTAGACGATACGGATGGGTTTATGGGTAACTACCCTAAAAAGCCCACTATGAGAAATAAATGATATTCATAATATATATATATATTTTTTGAATAAAAAAGCAATATATGTGCACATATGTACTCTGCTGGGGGGGGGGGTGGGGGGTTTAGAACTTATTTTTACGAAATGCATATTTGGTCAAAATTATACCAAAAATGATGACACGTCTGTCGAATAATTTCGGTTCATCCCCAGTCCCCAGAGCGGGCCCAGCCCTAGAAGGACATATTTACCCAAAGTCCCTTTTTGAAACAAAAACAACAACAAAAATAGTATTATACCACATATTTACAGTATTTAAATATGTATTTATGTCCATACGTATTTTTTTAACATATTTCTATGTAAATATTGTTGTATGTTTTTTTAAAATACAAATTTATATATATAAATTATATATGTATGTATACATAAATATACATGTATCATGTAGAAGGCTATGATATAACAAATGT